TTCAAAAACATTTCAGCAAAAGTTCATTATATTTTCAATAAATTATTTCCGTTAGATACAAGTATCTCAATTAAGATCTTACATGCAAAATCTTGCGGAAATCTCATACAAGTTCTCAGTTGCGATCTCACGTGAGATTTCAATTGAGTTCTCAATTGTGATCTCAGCTTAAATTTTTCAGTAAGGTGGACTGCGCTATCCTTACTTTTATATATGAAACAGGGTCCAGAGAGTGATTCTGACAAAGAGAGAATTAAGAAAACATATAAATTAAAAAAATTATATAAAAACGTAAAAAACACGAAACATAAAGAAAAATCCTAAAAAAAACATAACACCTCAAAATTTTAAAAATTTAAAAAAAAGCGCAAACGGAGTGTAAAATCTCATCGCAGCCTCCACGTGACATATTCTGGGATCATGATTTCTTGGTCACCAGCTAATGGGGGGGGGGGGGGGAATTTTTTGCTTTCGACCTGTTCTATGACTCACCATCTCGGAAACAATTCAAATAGAGCATTTCGGGTGCCATATTAATTAAACGATGACAAATTTGTAATTTCTGAGATCAGATTCTTATTCAGCGACCTAAAAAACGTAGGATACCATAGTTGCATCTAGATCCATTGAAATTTATCAGAGTTATTCAATTACGCATATATGCGTCATTACCAGTTAACTAGTTAAAGCACAATGGTAAAAAGAGGTCATTTCTACCTACCAAGACAAATGTGAAAATGTTATCATTCCTTATTAATTTTGACCAGCTGGATACAGTGGTGCTATCAGAATTATTCAGAAATAACGGGAACATCTCCTATTTTGACATTAGAGTTATGTTTTTCCAGATAATTCCCTATATCGTTACAAGTATTATTGAACTTGTCGATATTGTAGTGGGAAATAACTATCTGCAAATCACAAACAACAAGTACAAGATATTTTCAGTATCAATTAGATGACTAACTTTCGCTATTTAAAATGGCGGATCTACTATGACGTTTATCTGAGCAAAAAGACATAGATTTTGCTAGAAGAAAGAGAGAGAGAGAGAGAGGAAAAAGTAAATAATATTAAAACTTAATCTATTTCACATTTTATTAGGTATTTGTAGCTAAGTTGAAGATGAATTTATAGTTTTTTTTTTTAATGGGACATTCAATTTGGCGACTTCTTGAAACAAAATTGAATAATTTTAATTGTATCATTTTATAAACTTGCAAAACATGGAAATTCAGGAAATGCCTAAAACCCAAAAATTTGCTAATCTAAAAGTTTAATAAAAGATAATAAACATTATCAAAACATAAAATAACCCAAAAAAAGAACAATTTTAAATTTAAAACTGCAGACCCCAGTGAATTTAAATCCAAAATCCTATAATACAATAACCTTAAATCCAAAACCGCACAATATGATAAAAAAATTAAAAATTAAAAAATTGAAAAATAAGAAATTAAAAAATTGAAAAATCTAAAAATAAAAAACAAGAAATAAGACAAAAACCGCCACGTTCATAATCGTTGCTTCTGGGTTCAGCTGAGAGCGGTTTAAAGATAATCAAATACAGTTATGTCCTTGATTATGCTCTTAACCGAAAAGTTTTTTGTTCAATGATTTAAGAGTCTCATTTTTTAAGAGTTTAGTATTTAAGGGTTTACGTTTATTTCAAGGTTAAAAAGCTTACGGTTTAAAGATTTGAGGGTTATATATATATATATATATATATATATATATATATATATACACAGAG